AAATCACCGGTGTTGTATGCTTGTTTCCCCCACATGTGGCCAGCCGAATTTACTAGCAAAGTTCCGTGCAAAACACTTACTATCCTAACTCCCTGCAATCGCAAAAGCAATTTAAGCTTCATCTATAACAACTGTGAAGACGATGAGGTTTAGTAATTTGGAGAGTAGTTCAAATTATTTATAAGTACATGCAAAGTTCTTTTCATTTTTTTCATTTTTTTCATTTTTTTCATTTTTTTCATTTTTTTTTTCCAATGTGAGATTTATACCCTCAAAAAAAATGATCTCGCTGTACCCCATCATTCATGCGGCACAACTAATAAATAAGGGGAGTGAACATGGTTAAACTGGTCCCCTCCAATCAGTCTAATCTTATACGGAGCAGTTTCACACTAAAATCGCTCCTCCAAGTATTCTGTGGTACAAAATAGATCATATACTAGTACATCTCTTGTGGGTAGAGGTTCTCCATCCCTCGTTAGTCAAAGAAGAAGAAGAAAAAGAAGAAGTGAAATATATGTGGTAAAGCCTTCTGACAATAATGTAAAATCATTCTCTAATGAGAAAAAAACAAGATGTTAAACATGGGAAGAAGCAATTAATCTCACCAGTCCCCAAACCAAGAAGGGAAGGCCGCCAAAGGCATATAATAAACTTCCAGGTAGAACAACTGCATGTATAACATACGTATGATGAAGAAACCTATAGAAGGCCTGCTTTTTCAGATCTTGGACGTTCTTTAGTCCTCCATACTGCAAATTTTCCATTATTAATTTAAGAGTTCAACAACATTTATTTAGTCATCATAGGACGGTATTCGAAGTCTGTGTGTAAAAAGGAGAGAGGGGAGGAGGAAGAGAGAGAGAGAGAAAGAGAGAGAGAGAGAGATCCATTATTGTTGTGTATGCTGTTACCTTTCCAAACCGGGAACTGCTATCGATGATCCACCCAATGTGACTGTACCAAAAACCTTGAATGGGGCTATGAACATCTTTCTGAGTATCAGTATACTGGTGGTGGTAACGGTGTGAGCTCACCCATTCTATCGGACTACCCTACATATATATGTGCAACACCCCAAACTAAAACATTGCTCACAAAACTACTATTTAAAGACAGAACGATGCTAACAACGTAACAAAACCTTGCTCACAATGAGATTTTCACACACACGCACACACATATATATATATATGTACGCTTATAATATACCTGAAGTGATAGAACTGCAATGTAGGCAAACAAGTACTCGAGCCATTTCGGAAGCCTGAAACTTTTGTGTGCAAGATTTCTGTGGAAAGACAGAGTCACTCCTAAACCCGTTAACATATGGAGTGCAAAGGCCAACCAAAATGCACCCCAAGTGAAATAAAAGGGTGCAAATAAACAAAGAAAGTGCATAGATGAAAGGACAGTCGCTATGACTAGGTCCTGTAAATTCCATTTTCTCCCCAAGAATTCTCCGCAGGGCATCATCACAATCTTCACCCAACGCCCCATGATATAAGGTAGCAGGCTCTTACGTCTCGTACTCTATTTCTTTAACTCGTTTAGCAAGAAGCTGAGCTACTACTCGATCTAAAGAACGTTATATGACAACGCTGATGAGTTTGGAAAATGTGGGTCGGGCGAACCATTAGATATATAGACAAGCAATTTAATATCACACTACTTCATCGGGATTGGGTACCTAACTTCTGTACCAATTTAAAACCACGGTTTTTTTATTTTTTATTTTTTATTTTTTAACAAATTGATATTTATCTACACTAGGGGTTGGATTTAGCCTCACAATGAGCTAGTAATAATGTGGTTTAAATTCGTCTTTGGCGAGAATTGAATTTAAGATCTCTCATTTACAAGTGAAGATGAATACCACTAAACTGTAATACTAAGTGACACAATTTTTGCTTATTATGGATGTATTTTTTTTATTTTTTTATTTTTAAACACAATTATAGATGCATCTTTGGCAGCTTGCAATGGTAGTACAATGGATTTTTCAAGTCACGGTTGTATCCCTTCTGATATTAAGGAGTTGGCGTCCAGGTTTCATGGTGTACAATTTCAAATATCCCGCGAACTTGTAGTGGTGTGGCTCATCGCTTCGCCTATTCTAGCTTATATAGCCGTGATCAGTAGTTCTGTTTGAAGAACTTCCAGATGTATTAGGGATATACTCAATCAAGATGTGTACTCCCGATGAGTTATTTGTCAATAAAGCTGGCGTTTTTTCTTAAAAGAAAAATATAAAAGCTACTTAGTACTACAGTCTAGTGGTATTCTTCTTCACTTGTAAGTGAGAAGCTTTAGATTCGATTCTCATTAAAGGCGAATTTGAACCACATTATTGATAGCCCATTGTGAGGCTAAACCCACCCCTTCCCCTTAGAGCATTTCCACCAGAGGTGGAATAGCCCAGCACCTAGTCAAAAAACCAGGTTGGGAGGCTATCAATCCACTCCAGCTCACAAACTTGCCTGGCACCCATCCTGTGCCAGTCTCCAGACCAGTCCATTTTTTACTAACCTTGGGACCGGCCTATTTGGCTAGCGCGTGCCTTTCACTTGCGAGTGGGCGCGAGTAGGAGACAGGAATGCAGGCGGCGGGGCCCGCTGTCAACGTACTCACCCATCACCCGGATCATGGCGACGTGGCCTTCTCTTTGCCGTTGGATTGCCAATGGCTAGTTTTTCTAGACCGTTGGATTTCCAACGGTAAAAAAAATTTGAATTTCACTTTTAAACTTGATCGTTCGATCACAGATCATTGGTCCATGTTCCCCCACCCCCCCCCCCCCCCAAAAAAAAAGGCCCAACGGTCATAATTATGACCGTTGGCCACGTGGCAGCTCGTTGGCTATTGGATTGGAATATTTTTCAAATCCAACGGTCCAGATTAATTAACAACATTAAAATTTATTTACAAAATACAGAAAAATTTAAAAAAAATTAATTTTTTTTTCTATAAATACCTAACCCTCATCTTCCACTTTCTTACATCACATTTCAATATTTTCTACACTCTCTACGCTTTCTACATTTCAATATTTTGTACACTTTGAGAGAAAAAAATGACTATGTGGAAGCTCATTGAAGATGTTACGTTGTGTGAATGTTGGGTTCACATTACTCATGACCCAATTACGGGTAATGAGATGGATAAGCAAGAAATGTGGAGCAAAATTACAAAAGCGTTTTGCAATGTACATGGAAAAGACGCCAGAACTAGTCAAGATCTTCAAGGTCGTTGGAAAAAAACTCAACGCATCCTTTACTTGTTGGAAAAACACCATCTCTCATGCTTCCTGTAATCTGCGTAGTGGGACAAGTTTAGTGGATCAGATGACAATATTTTTATTTATTTATATGCATTCCACCCTCATCAATATTTTAATTTATTTAATTTCTTATGTAATTTATGCATTCCAACCGCATTTTTTAATACTATCTCATCCCACATTTTTATAGACACTACAAGCACAAGCATTCTACAATGCAAAGAACAAAAACAAATCATTCAACAAATGGGAATGGTGGCAAGTTGTCAAAGATTGCCCTAGATACAAAATTGTGGCAACCGGTCCAGAAGTTGTCATGCACGGCATGGGTTTACACAGTTCACCAGAAGCAGACACAGCTGAACAAGAAGCCAACACATTTGAAGATACAGAAGGTACGCCTGAACAAGTGCCGGAGACCTAACCAACTCGTCAGTCCCTCAAGCCTCAAGGTAAAAAGGCATCAAAGAAAAAAGGTAGTTCTTCAAAAAATGACTACACTAAATATATGGAAGAACTTGCTCGCCAAGGTGAACTGAACATAGCACGGGAAAAGGCTAGAGATGAGGAAAAAGTTGCTGCTATGGCAACAATAATAGCAGCTACTGAGGCCTGTGATGCAGCTGCTGAGAGACAAAGAGAAATAGTTAATCGAGAGAATGAGATGATTAGAGAAGCACTTCATCGAGAAAATGAGATGCTTAGAGAAGAAATGATGGCTCAAGCAGATCGTGACATTATGAACAAGCCTCTAGTAGGACTGTCTCCGAATTCAAAATATTTTTGGACATCGGAAAAAAAAAAGAGCTCATGCGAAGGAGGCGTGCAAGAGATGCCGAAACAAGTCGAGGGGGTTCTAGCTACAGAAATCCTAGCACCACATATCCTAGCTCCACAGACTTTGTATAATTTCGTATTTCTTTGTAGTACTTTATTTAATTTCTTATGTAATTTTTATGTAATTTCTTATTTATTTTTAGAACTTTATTTAATTTCTTATGTAATTTTTAATGTAATTTCTTATTTATTTTTAGAACTTTATGCAATTTCAAATTTATTTTTTGTACTTTATTTAAACACATCAAATAAGATTACATAAACTCACCAAATAAGATTACATTAAACTCACCAAATAAACTTAAAAAAAAAACACCAAATAAAATTACATAACCTCACCATAGAAACTTAAAAAAAAACACACTAAATAAGATTACTTAAAAAAAAAAAAAACACTTTATTCTTCAACCACAAGCCTCATTTTAATTATCTTCGCCTTCATGCAATCCCCATTGGTGCTCAATCAAGTCATTATGGCGGGTTATGTGCCAGTATGGCTCTTGCACATCAGTGTACCTCTGAACGATCAATTCATTGTAACATCCATCCCATTCCAACGGCTTGTGTTGCACGGGATATTCGGTCCAGTCATGAGCACAGTAGATACATGTTCTTGAGTTGTTCATCGGATCTGCCTCATATTCATCAAGGGCATCATAATCATACTCATCTTCCACAATCATGTTGTGGAGAATAATACACATCATCATGATGGATCGAAGAGCCTCGACATCAATCATTCTAGCTGCAGCCATGATAATCACCCAACGAGCTTGCAGGATGCCAAAACAACGTCCACATCCTTCCTACACCCCTCTTGACATTTTGCGAAGTGTTTTTCTTTTTCAGTCTATGGATGTGGCACTGTTTTGACAAACGTAGCTCACCTTAGGTAAATACCGTCTGCAAGGTAGTATGGTCCGTCATATTTAGTGCCATTAACCCAATATGTGCATTTCGACGATTTTCTTTGTAGCAAATTGTCAAACACTGGAGATTGAGCAAGGACATTTAGGTCATTCTGAGTTCCTGGAACACCAAAAAAAGCATGCCAAATCCATGTATCAAATGAAGCCACCACTTCCAAAATGATACTTTTGGCTCATTTTTTGTCATCATAAGCTCCTTGCCACGCACTTGGACAGTTTTTCCAAGTCCAGTGCATGCAGTCGATGCTTCCAATCATGTCAGGGAAGCCTCGCATCTTACCCTCCCTCAGAAGCCTTCGCATGTTCCTTGGCGTGGGTTTCCGGAGGTACTCATTGGTGTACAGGGCTTCAATTGCAAAGCAAAACCGCATCAGGGACTCCAAAACAGTTGTTTTTCCCATCCTCGCGATCTCATCGACTTGATCTGCAGATGCTTCATATGAAAGCATTCGCAAGGTAGCCGTAATTTTTTGCTCTGGAAGAAGACCTAGAACACGAAAAGCATCATCTTTTTGCACAAAATATGGATCATGGTTGCAAATAGCACTCATGATTTTGTTAAACAAACTTCGTTGCATTCTAAAACGATGTCTAAAACCATGATCAGGGAATACGCTGTTGGAAATAAAATAATCTTCCAATAAATCTTTACCTCGTTTTTCCCTTTTTCTATCGAAGTTTGCGGTATGTCTGAGTTTGGCTATCTCACCCACAGCTTCCATGACATGGCGGGAATGTGAGGCTCTCTGCCTTCTATGGTCATCATCCGAGTCCTCCTCCATTGCGAAGGCCTCATCTCCACCTCCACCTTCCTCGAGATTGATCAATTCTTCTTGTTGTGCCAACAATCTTTTCTGTTGCTCCACAAATTGTATACGCACTCTCCTTGAAGAAGACATTGTAAAAAAAACTCAAGATTTGAAAACGATGAAGAAAGATTCTGAGCTAAAAAGAAGGATTGAGTTTGGTGTGAGGATGGATGTAGAGATGTAGGGTTTATATGGACAAAAAAAAAGAGAAAGGATGAGGTTCTGGACAATGCCACATGGCACGTCGGGATTGGTTGAAAATCTTATCGTAATCTTGGCTAAATTATTGTAAACATATAGTGACACGTGGTGCATCAGGATTGGTTGCAAATCTTAGCGAAAATCTATTCACAAAATAGTACGTTCGGATAATGACACGTTGCGTGACGAGATTGATTAAAAATCTTATCCGAAATTAAAACTATTTTATTTATTTATTCTTTTATAAAATATTTTAAATGGGCTGGGTGCCAGCGCATTTTTTTAGGGGTGGAGATGCTTTGACCTATTACTGTTCACTGGGGTCTATTACTGTTCACTTGAGTGGATAAATGCGCTGGGTGCTAGCGCAAAGTCTTATGGGTGGAATTGCTTTTAGTGTAGATAATATCGTTTGTTCAAAAATAAAAATATAAACAAATTTGATATAACTCCATTGTTGTCTTATTGTTGAAATAGATCCAACAACTACATATTATTAAGAGAGCTACCAGACCCACCCCATTGTCTTAGATTCCCACCCACCTTAAAAAGTTAAAAACTTAATATGCTATTTCCCCACCGACTATTATTCTCAAAATAACCTTTAATATATACATACTTATGAAATTATAAAATTGTCACTTAAAAAATATAAACAAATAATATGTAAATGAAAACCACTAAGGTCTGCAAATTCAAATGGAAATGACATAGGTATCCAACGACAAATTCAAAAATATGATGGACAAATTCAAATGACCCACACACAAATTATTCTTCTACATTTTCAATGAAAACATAATTTTCTACCTCTTCTGTAGAAGGGTCATCTTCCACCGTTTCAATGAAAAAGTCATCTTCTAAGTCCAATGATATTTTTTTTTTACTTTCTTTGAATGAAAGGAGATGAAAATATGAGTTAGAGTTTAAGGTAGACAAATCGTCTCCCACACCGAACCTTTTTTTTCTTTTTTCTTTTTTTAAAAAAAAATTAAGCAAAACAAGATAATTAATGTCCTTATTAGTCTTTTTGCAAATGGACAAATTTGTAATTAAAAAAATTTATTAAAAGGTGAGTAGGAAGATAAGACATTGGGGTAGGAATAACATCACTTATTATTAATTACTTTATTTTTTATTTTAATACCAATTATACCCCTCGAGTAATTAGTAAAGTAACTAATATTATTTTAATTTTAGCATTATCTTTCATTAATGATAATATTTCTCTTCTTTTTCCTTAATTAGAGTTTGTTGCAATCTTGTTATATTTTTGGTTTGCTACCTATCTTTTTGTTGTTTTACCTCACTCATCATTTTTTTTGGTTTTTTACCTCACTCATCATTTTTTTTGTTGTGTTTTCTTCTGTTGTTTCCTCAGAGATCATATACATTATGTAAGTCATCTAATTTCTTTTTTCTTTTATGGAATGCTGCTCCAAATTAAGCATGCTATTTATCTACATATTAAACATGATTTTTTTAATCAACCTCTACCATGTATTTCAGCTTTGGTTGGGTTTCGTACCTCTTATCTACCTATATCACATTTTTTTAATCAACCCTCATTAATCAAAGTCCTTTGGCTTTTTCTAGAAATAAAACATGAGATATTATGGTATTTAAACTATCACATCTAATGAGCTATAATAAATGTACATTAAAAAATATCAAGTACATGTAATGGTCTAAAATATCCATAATATCCCGATATTTCTATCGAAATTTCCGTGTTTTTGGACTACCGATATTTTTTTGGACTACCGATATTTCCGATATCATCGATATTTTAGACCTTGCTAAGTCACTCATGTATCTTACCATGCATTGTATAAAGTGTAAAATATTGTACTAATTCATTATATATAAATGATTATGGTGTGTTTAAACTTCTTTAATTAATTACTACATATTTTCTACACTCACAATGTTTGCCAGCTCGCTATATAATCAACTTAAATCAGTTATATCTATCATGCAATGCATTTCCTTCCAATTTTTTGTGATAAACTAATAAATAATTGACTAAATAAACATCCTGCAAAGTTTCAATAAAAATTTCCAAGTTTTTCTTACAATTTCCGTGGTTTTTATTCAATTTTTATCAATATCGATAATATCCCGATATTTCCATCGAAATTTTCGTGTTTTTGAACTACCGATATTTCCGATATCATCGATATTTTATACCCATAAATATATATGTCACATCTCGGCCCAGACCCCCACTACATCCCAAGCTCAACTCCTTTGTAGCACGATATTATCCGCTTTAGACCCCCACCACGCCCTCACGGTTTTGTTTCTGGGAACTCACAAGAGAACTTCCTAGTGGGTCACCCATCCTGAGATTGCTCTCGCGCGAACTCTCTTAACTTCGTAGTTCCTACAGAATCCGAAGCCAGTGAGTTCCCAAAATGCCTCGTGCTAGGTAGAGATGGGAATATACATATAAGGCTTACAGGATCCACTCACCACGCCTTCACGGTTTTGTTTTTGGGAACTCACAAGAGAACTTCCGAGTGGATCACCCATCCTGGGATTTCTCTCGTACGAACTCGCTTAACTTCGGAGTTCCTACGAAATCTGAAGCCAGTGAGCTCCCAAAAGGTCTCGTGCTAGGTAGAGATGGGAATATACATATAAGGCTTACATGATCCACTCCCCTGGGCGATGTAGGATGTTACACACATATATATATATATATATATATATATATATATATGTTTCAAACAATTGGAAACAATGTAAAAAAAGTGTCAAAAGAAAGTATCCAACATTGTTATGAATTTCCCATAATCTGTTTAACTGTGGCCACAGGCATGTGAAATTCCCCATATCCTCTACGGTCCAGAATGAGTGGATAACCGTGGATTGTCACCATTTATTCCTCTTTTTCGTAAAAGAAAAAAAACATTGTTACGAATTTGACCAAGAAAACACTGTTATGAATGATAAAATAGTAGTTACAAGTCAAAAGAATGTACCCATATGATAGGAGCATATTTATGCGACTTAATTGTCTTGTTCTCGTGCGTTTACGTTGTGTTTCCTTAGTTATTTTAGTGTTTAAAGCCATTTTCATTTGTTTGTAGGTCTTAATAACAACCTTGGCAAGAAAAGTGCATTTGGTGCATGTTGGATCAATATTGGGTTGAAATGGATTGCATGCATGAGGATGGACGTTTTGGGCATATGTGTGTGCATGTGTGTGTGTGCAATTGCAAGGATAAACAATGACAACTCATACACATGCAAACACATGGCAAGAGAGGGAGAAAACACATGCAAAGACACCCACATGCAAAGTGAAAACAAAACTCACGGCAAAGGAGAAGGAATTGTGTGTGTTTTGTGGTTGAAATGATGAAGCATGTGTGTGTAAATGTAAAGAAGAAAACATGGCAGCAAACACATGGCAAAGAGAAGAACATTGAAGCAACCACATGGGAGCACACGGCATAGGGCAGAAAATGTGGGTGTTTGGTGCTTGAAATGATGAAGCATGTGTGTGTAAATGTAAAGGAAAATAGGGCAGAAAATGTGTGTGTGTTATGGTTGAAATGATGAAGCATGTGTGTGTAAATGTAAAGAGGAAACATGCCAACACACACCCACACAAGCTCCACATGCAAAGGAAATGGAGTGGTTCTCTCTCAAGCCTATAAATACCACCTTCCATATTCATCAAAGGAACAACAGATTTTCTCCTTGCTTTGGCCGAAACTTCCCACCAGCATTCTCTCTAATTTCAGCCAAAAACCACCCCTAGCCACACCACCCATCAATCCTAAACCTTTCCATACCATTCCCCATCCATTCTACACCATAAAAACCACCCAAAACCGTCCAAAACCTCTAGCGCCACTGCTTGCAAGGAAGGAAAGAGAAGGAACATCTTGTGCCGTGCCTATGCCCAAGCCTTGGGAGTCTTGGAGCGTTTCTAGGTGTTTTCTATCTTTGATTTCAATGTTTAAATTAAGTTATCTTTGTGTAATTGCGAGTATGAGGAACTAAACCCCCCTTGGCTAGGGGGGGATTCAAAACCATGTTTATGCTTGCTATATGATTTGATTACTTCCAATTGCGTTTCATGAATTGTGAATTTAATTTACTTATCTCTATTAATTAAAACTAATTTGTGTATGTTGGTTGAGAGTGCACGCTTAATTTTCATGCATAAGTTTGATGCTAGGATATAAGGAAGTTTCACCTAATCGTTATGAACTTATATTCATAAGTAGTAAAGGTTGTTGATCACAATCGTGTTAAGTAAATTCTTGGCATAAGTTTCATGCAATTCATAGTAACGAGTGCCTCGTCAATGCTTATGTTTTTCATAGAACTTAATGATTCTTGCGTGTATCTCTATTATGCAATTCATGTAGGGAACTTGTAGGGAATGTTTTGGGTTGTCGTATGCAATCATCCAACCTAATAACTTGTGGAAAAACTGAGGGTTAATTAGTGCAATTCACGGTTAATTTGGGGCGTTGAGTATTCATGGTTTGTCGAAGAGCAATTGGAAATCATTTTGTATGCAAGTATAACATGTGTGGAGAAGAACCCCTTAGCTAGCTTCTCATCCATTCAATTTGATCAATCTCGTTTTAAAACCTATTTTGTTTTACAAAGTTCTTGTTTTGTTTTCAAATTCGTCTAAAATCAATCCCCCTTTATTTTGTTGAGTCATATTAGTTAGAAATCAATTTAGTTTGTGTTTTTAAGTGTCTTGAGTCAAGTTATAACATATTTTCGTTCAAATTCTTCCT